TGGGACTCGGTGAGCAATGAAAGTGACAGAACAGAGAAAGATTAACAAAACAGAAGAACAGCAGCCCTGACTATTTCATCTCAGTCGTTCAGTTTCACAGCAAATAGAGGAGAGCATCATAGCATCACTCTTACATTTTCACTCCTATTTCACTGCTGTTCTATTGTACATATTCAACAGCAATAATCTTTATTAATGTAGTAACCTAACTATGAACTAAAGTTTCCCTGCTATTGCATGCTGTCAGTATCCATCCATCCGCTTAATCCTCACTAGGGTCGCGGGGTCTATCCCAGCTGACTTAGGGTGAAGGCAGGAGACACCCTGGACAGGTCACCAGTCTATCACAGGGCCACACTTAGAGACAGACAACCAAGCACACTCACATTCACACCTGCGGACAATTTAGAATCACCAGTTAACCTCAACATGTTTCTGGACTGTGAGAGGAAGCTGGAGAACCTGGAGAGAACATGCAAACTCCATGCAGAAAGATCCCGGGTGTCCTCACCGGGACGCGAACTGGCGACCTTCTAGCTGCGAGGCAACGGTGCTAACCACTGCTCCACCTTGCAGTCCATGCTGTCAATATAAAACATTTTTAATGTATATTTGCCATTGGTCTTTCTTGATTTCTTGATATTATGCATGCTTGCAGTAAACATTTTTTTCCTCTCAAAAAAAAATGTACAAGCTCTGTAACACAAAAAAGGAAGCTAAGGCTTATTTTTGCCCCCTCTTCTCGCTGCCATTTTTGGATTGGTTACCCCTTTTTAAAAGTGTTACTTCCTCTTCATGTACACGTTTTTGTTCATTTGAACCTGCACGAACATTGATTTTGAGTGGTTGGTTGTTCTCTTGGAGCCACATTGTCATTGAAGGAACTCTTTATGTTGCATCAAAACAGGAAACAAACAATTCACAGGTTCTGATCAAGATTGGTCCCTGGTGCAGTGGTTAACAAAAATGTTTAAAGAACAGCTGGTACAACGGTACCCTTGGGTGTTCAAGGCTCGCTGATGCACATGTGGAGGAACGTGAAACAATACAAGACGGTGGTCTGGTCTGTTGAATCGTACCATGTTGATGGTCGAGTGTTTACTTGGGGAAGAAATGGCAGCAGGATGCACTATGAGTAGAGGGAAAACCAGCACTATGATACACAGTGAGAGATGATGGGGGAGGAGTGATGATCGTAATCATAGACAACAGCAAGTAAGAGACTTTCTTCCTGTTGCTAAAAATGACTTTTGCCTTCTGGGGCAGAAGTGCACACACACACACACACACACACACACTTGCACTTTGCGATGCATATGAAGCCACATCTCTGCAACTTTACGGGCAGCATACATGCAGCATTTAGAGGTATAGGAACTGTTCTGTCAGACTCTTGTGTTAGTCAGCTGGTGGTTTGCACTGCTGTGGTTGAAACAGTTCACACTTGGCTGGAGTAGAACATTTTCTCTCCTTCCTGCTTTTGAACTTCACATTCTCACATTCTTAACACACTGGTCTTGGAGTGGCTCCACCACGACTTTGAACATAAGGACTTTGACACTCACACTCGCACTAATACTTGTCTGAAGTGGTGACTTTATCACTCATAAGCAGTGTGTGTTGTGGTTTGGTAGGTGGCAGATAAGCTATGGAGCTGTCAAACACTCCAGTGCTATGATCTCTCACATGCAATTCTTTAAATAAATTGTGCCATAACCAGCAGATGGTCACAGAACTGGCTCTGAACTGAATTAGTCTGGGACTGACTGTCCTGCTGACTGAGGCTGGGAGCACAGACAAGCCTTCACATGCAAAACAGGATTTCTTCAGTTGGCTAATTAAAACTAGCTGTTCAGCCTTGAGTGGAAGGCTTGAGAGTAAAAGCAGGAATAGTTAAGAGGATGCAGAGGAAACAGCAGACTTCATTAAGACTTCTCCAAAAAACAAAAACCTCCATATGTTTTCAGTAATATTTCATTGGGTTAATATATTCCTGGACTTAAACTAATGAAGCCAAAGAGAAAAACGGAAAGCTCCTGCTGCCCTCTGAGTCAGCCTGGCAGCACTGCTGCCCTCCATCCATCCCTCCCACTCACACAGCAGGACAACGCTGCTCTTATGTAACAGAGAAACAGAAAAGAGATACAAAGAGACTGAAAGACGGAGGAGGAAGGAAGAGAGGCTGAGACGAGAGAAGAGGGAAGCAGAGCGGCTAACCACCAAGCTTCCATGTTTTCCACTTTACCGCTTCCTATTAACCACGTCGTCTTCTCCTCATCCTCCCTTCCACCTCAACTTTTCTTGAAGTCATTTACTCCTAATTAACAGCCATCATTAAATAAATTACACACTATGTAATTCCAAATATGCAGTCAGTGTCAAAACAAAGAAATGCATGTTGTTGGGGTTAAGATGGAATAATGTTTTTAAGAAAACAATCTTGTGCAGTAGCATCAGGGAGATGCTGTTGTCTTGTGCGATTGCACCTTTTTCTTATCCTCATGTCAAATGACTTTGAAGCTCAGGCTTATTGAAGTGGGTCCAGCACAACTCTCTCTGCTTTAACTACAACAAACAAGCTCCCATCTTGTCCATCACTCCAAGATCCTGTTTCAAAGACAACTTACTGTAATGACACACTCACTGTAACACTGACATACTGGAATACTCATGGTTGCATGTTAGCTCTGGGTCACTGATGGGAAACGTACAGGATATAGAGCTAACATGCAACCATGAGTATTCCAGTTTATTATGGAGGTGTTTGGCCTTAAACATCAGCATGAATCCTGTTGACCTTAACAGGACCATAAACTTAATGCAGTCTGATTGAGTCAAGGGCACAAGTTGAAATTTTATGGAGTATCTTTGAATGCGACATGATTTGCCTTTTTTCCTGTTTTCTTATGTTTTCCAGGCTAAAAAGTTCATTATGCAAAAATAATCAACAGATAAACTGATAGTGGTTGTAGCCTCATTAGGAAATAACTTGAGGCCTATTGTTAAAAAAAAGTTAACAAATAATTCTGAATATCTTTGTCAAATTTTCTTGAACCATGCCATAGTGGAGCTTTCCATTCTTTGTCGAGCCTTTCTCAGTTCTCCTTCTATGGTAGCAGCATATTGTTGTTTCACACTTAGCGATGGCTCATGAGAGCTTGTGGTGAAAGCATATGAGTCAGAAAAACAAGAAAACCGATCTATTGAATGTTGTTTCTGTCACATTGTTCAATTTGATTAGTTATTTTGCTCCTGTCACTGTGGGCTTACATTTCACTGCAGTATAACATTTTGCACCTCTGTGGAATCAGCACTATCATGGTTAGAAGTAGAGAGGACTCCAGAATGTCTTCTGTGCAGTGTAATGAAGCTGTAATGGTATAAATAATCAAAAACTGCAAAACTAAAATTCAGTTTCTTCATTTCTTGTTTCTTCTTGTGCAGCATTTTTCCAAGTGACTAAGGGTGTTAGAAATACTGTGGAAAAAGGCAACTCTACTAAACTATAGCTATTGTACTAACATTTGTATTTAGTTTCCATTCTTGTATCTGCTGTGTTTAACCACAGCCTGCAGTTCAGCTCAGTTCATCCAAAAAGCGTCAGTGTTTTTGTGATGTGGCTGCTGGTCAAGTCACAGATGGCTTCATGGTTACACTGAGGTGCACAGAATTTAAAAAAAAAAATTTTTTAACAGATTTTATCATGCAAACAGTTTATTTTGGTAAATTTCTGGATTAGAAATGTTGAATAAAAGGGATTTTGTGTCACGATTTTAAGCCCAGACTTGGTTATGATTTCTAACGTAATGGCACGACACTAATAAGCAGTTCAAGGATTAAATTTCAAAATCCAGTGACTCTGTTTTTATAGTTTGTGGCTCTGATAAACGGTGGAATTTTCTTTTTTTTTTTTTTTTTATGCAGACATTTGTCTAAACTGCAGCTTTTTCATGTTTGTTTTTGTGCAGACTAAACAAATAAGTGCATCGGTTCGCTTCACAGGTCCTGATAGATGAATTTTATTACCGCCAGACAGAGCTAGGAGAATTGTTTTACCCTGTTACTGGTCTTTATGTGAAGCTAAGTGTCAACTGACTCATTTCTGCACAGAGGTCGCACATGCACCTGTTACAAAAACATAAATTTACCTCAAGACACAGCTAATGCACTTTGGCTTTGTTGCTGAGAGCAGTGTGTGCGTGGGTGGGGTTCAGGTGTTACAATGAAGTGTTCGGTAACAGAGTGTCTCATCTGCCTGAACTGTTCATGAGCCTTTCTTTCCGATCACAAATACAACCAAACCACTGCAAGTGATTTGGCACATTTCCTCAAATCAGATCCAGGAGAATTTGTTGTCAGTGTTTAAATGTGAGTGTTAGAATATGAGTCAGTGGGATCAAGCAGCTTTAACCACAATGGTTGGAGTAATACTTCTAGACTGTCTTTAAGGAAGACTGTGTTTGTTTATGTTGTCAGATGGGCGTCAAGGGAGACCACATGGAAAAGCAATTAGCCTCATTACTAATGTGTGTGTGAATCAGTGTTTGCGTGTCTTTTTGTGTTTGTTTGGGTGGATTTTTGGTCCAGCTCATCATAGTTAAGACGTCTCTATATTGCAGTGACATTTTTGCTGCTCCTCACCACTTTGAAGGCTAGAATTAGGTTTAAGTTGGGGTTAGTGCAAGAGGAGTCCATTCAGTATCCATTACATTACATCACAGATCTTTCTTAAAAAGACAGAAACACTTCAGTGGCATGTTCTCCACAGGACTGGAGAAACAGATGTGTGTGCATGAGTTTGTATCTCCTCCCACTGGCCTTCGTCAGTTGTCAAGACACACCTGCCGACTAGGTATAGACCTCAGTCCTCCCTCTCTCTCCTCTCGTCAGTTGTCAAGACACACCTGCCGACTAGGTATAGACCTCAGTCCTCCCTCTCTCTCCTCATTACTCCGTCACTCACGCTGCTCTCTCTTCTCTCCCTCGCTCTGTGTTTTCAGTCTAAGATGCCCTAGGCGGGGAGAAGAGAAATGTAAATGGCTTCCAAAGTAAAAGATGCTGTGGTGTGGTACCAGAAAAAGGTAAGACACTGTACTTTTTTTTCTCTTGCATGCTGGTGTGCACTTGTTTTGTTTCACAGAAAGAGAAAGTCAGACTGTGGTCGTGCACTTGTTGTGCAAGCATATGCTGCAAAGAAGACAACTGAATTTAAAGAGAGGACATGACATTGGAGGTTACTGTGCTGCTACATTTTGACTTGTCATTGCCTGCTTTGAGAGCAACTATTGAGCTTTACTTTATGTTGAATTTTTGGTTGGTCATTTTATACACTGGTAAAAATGGAGTTATTGTAATTGCTGCACTCTTTTTCTTTAAAAAATACCTTTTAGTCTCGATGACTTGATGTCCGCTTATAAATTCCTTTTGAAAACCTAATTCTATATTTAAAAATGATTTCATTGGGTCATCTTTTGTATGCTTAGTGCATGTTATGTATCATACTTCCTTAATGTTTGTATTCTAGTTTGTTTTGCTTTTGTTTTGCTTTTCCTACTATGCTGCTCTTGCTGTTGTTTATTTCTTCCTTTCACTCGTGCAGCATGTTGTGACCTTGTAAAGAAAGGTGTTATGTAAATAAAGATGATTATTTAGGGATGTATGATATTGGATTTCTGCCGATATCTAATATGCTGTTATCTTCCAACTCATCATGACTGATTACTGTTACCAAAGTATGCACATGTTTCTTCCACCTAATTACAGAGAGCATCAAGTTTTTCCTGTAGTGGAATTTATATATTGTTTCTCTCATTCTTATCATGATGGCAAAATAAAATGTTTTTCAAATGTACACGTAACATTTCCATGAAACAAACTCGCAGGTAAAACATGCCACATATATATTTTTTATGTAGCATTTTCAAACAACTGTGAACTTGGATCTTGACAGCCCCTCAGTGCTCGTTTTGGACTGATGCTGATATTTTGTCGGCAGATACAGATAATTCTTATTCTTTTGCCACTTAAAGTCGAACAAGTTCAAAAGACCTCATAACCAAAAAAATATTTTTGTGTTCTGCACATTCTGTAATTACACACCGTAGTCCTACCAATACTGGATTTTTCACTCCAACATGTGTATTTGAGGGTTTGAAACAATCAGATGGGATGCTATATTGTAAGAAATGCAACTACAGTGTTTGAAAGTTTCATAATACAGTTATATATTATATATTACAGCTGAAAAATTCTCTAAGTCAGAATAGATTCTTTTTTATTTTCCTGCCTTTTTGTTACTTGTTTCCTAGCTTACAAATGAACATATACACAGTAAGCGATTATTGTTCTACCTCTGTAGCACAGCTGAAATATTGGTTCATTTCCCTTCCTTAAAACCGAAACTTAAGATAGAGTTACAAAGCATTCTGATATTAGAGCGGGCAGACTCTTTCTGATACACCAGTATCTTTTGGTGACCTCCTCACTGCTGTCAGTGGCAGCAACATGCTCGAGCTGTTCTGCACAGTCTCCAACCAAGCTGGTGTTGTGTGTCCTGTTGTTCCATAGTCTCAGATATCAGATCCTCTGCTGGACTCCAGCGCTGCTCTCCCTGCAGCTCTCAGCTTACACACTCATCTGCCTGCTCTGCCCTTGCAAACCCGTCCGTCCGTCTGTCGATACGGCCTCGTCTGCCTGTCCTCCGCTTCCTCTAAAGTCACTCTCTGTTTATCTGTCTCCTTTGTCTTTCATCTCTGCGTCTCTCTGATCTCCCGCTTGCACATGCAGATGTCAATATTAGCTTTCATTGGAATCAAATCCGGCGGCTCAGCGGTGCAGTGGTTAGAACTGTCGCCTCACAGCAGGAAGGTTCTGGGTTTGAATCTGCTGGTCGGTTGGGGTCTTTCTGTGGGAAGTTGGCATGTTCTCTCTCACCTGTTCTGCCAGATGCATCAACCTCCTCTCACAGTCCAATAACATGCATTAGGGGTTGTTGGTTATTTTAAATGACCTGTAGGTGTGAGCGTGCATGGTTATGTGTCTCTTTGTGCTAACCCTGTGATGGACTGGTGACCTGTCCAGGGTGTACCAATTCTCTCACCTGATCTCAGCTGAGTTAAACTCCACCCGTCTGTGACTCTCCTCAGTGAAAAGTAGGCGCAGCTAATGGATCGAATCATAATCACACCGAACGTGACTCATATCAAACTTTGACTAAAGCTGTAAACGCCGGTGTGTGTGCAAGACAAACTACTATTATCAGTGGAAATTGAAGCTTTTACCAGCTTTAATTGTTTATTTTAATTCTTAAATCTAATTGCAGGGAACGTTAAAAATGACTTAAGTCTTCACATAGGTGTTTTTAAAGCTACTCATCTGCAGGATTAATCTAAGCAGCAGGATTAGAAACGGTTTCCTTTAGATCAAGATTAACCTTGATAGTTTTTTCTGGTATTGTTGCCATACTGACTGTGTGTTTGTGTGTTTTGTGTGTTAAGTTAAGCTTGTCTGGGCAGAGGCACACCAGTGACGACAACTACTGAGTCATGAATGAATAAAAAGTTTTTAAGAGCGATCACACCCTCGGGGCTCCTTTATCTCTGATCAGTGAAGGATTTCTCTTTTTTTTATTATTTTGTCTCTGAACATCTGAACGTAAACAGATAAAGCATAAAAAATCTGGTTTGTAGCTTTTCTCCCAGACATCATGACCAGGTTTTTGCTGTCTGAGTCACAGGGGCAGGGCGATTTTACTCATCTGCATCACTTTAAATCTCTTAATTGTTCCTGTGATCTGTAATATTGGCCGGTAGCACAGCAGACTGACAAACCTGGAAAGGCAAAGATGGGTCTATTTCGCCTTCTTTCTTGTTCGGCAGTGGCTATACCAACAATACAAGAGAGCGTCATAAATACTGGCATTAAGTAAACACCTGAAATGGTGCCAAATAATCAAACACTGCCCTCAGGAGAGTATTTTAACTGTGTTTATTTTAAGTGTGTGGCTCCTGACAGGCCTCACATGATGGAAAAATGTGTTTGAAGCTTAGGCTTATATGAGCACTGGTGTATTTTTGATAAGGATGTTGCTCAGGTCATTTTGTAGGTGATGTTATTGTAATGGAGCCAGAGTCTCCTGATCATCTATTTATAGGCTGGGTTCAAAGAAATGACCTAAGCACATATTTTCACGCCTAACCTCTGGTGGTTTTCAGAGAGGTTTAATTGTACTTGGAGAGGTTTTGAGATGCTGTTTGTTTGTGCTGTTCAGACAATAAGCCATTTACAAAAAGTGTTCAAAGTTTTATGGGAGGGATGGTAGTTTCCTGGTTGGTTGGTTGATATCGATCTTATTCGGCCAAACTCTCAAAGGTTGGACAATTGCTAGTGTTAATTACAAAAGTAGAAAAGTGTTTCATCGATAACCTTGCAGGAAGGAGGAACAGACAACCTGTGGACATCCCCACATTTTCACAATTTGAGTTCACCCAAACTAATAGTGGCTGCTTTAACTTCTTTAATGTTTACTGAACATTTGCTCCAAACTAATGGACAAGAAGCTGTTGGTGTGGCTGCATTTTGTTAAAACGTATCCTCAAAAAGTCGAGTGTAAACTTTGGTTGCTGCAGTTTTATAGCTCAACAGCAAACATCGTAGATCATCACAAGCTCCTAAAATATCTTATATTCCTCAACAGTTCTTGTACTGAGATAATAAGTTTGATATAGTTCTATGATTGGAAATCATATGAATGTGGGCAGATGTATGCTGCTCTGATGTGACTCTTGTTACCATTCAGTATTACATAACCAAGTTAAAATGGTTGAATGTGCTGCATATACTCGCTTTTTATGCTGATTTATAATTTATTTAGGCTAACAAGGGAGGCAAGCTGAGTGCACTCAGTCCACTGTGGCCCATTTAGTTCATCTAGAGATAATATACTGATTTTTGTTTTCTCTGCAACCAGTCACTCGGTTGAAGACTCGGTATGATTTCAATCAACCAAGATTTTCTTTGGTTTGCATCAGCCCTGGTCAGTTTTCATTAGAGCTACTTTCTACCAAAGAGAAAGTTGTTGTGAAGACTGGATTGCTCATACAAAGTACCCAGCAGACAGTTTCTGTAAAGACACATTGCTGCTAAATTATTTAAACGTGTTCGTCTTTTAATGTTGCGAGCTCCGTAAACCAAATTACTTTCAACCAAAGCTATTGTAAAAGTTCAAATTCATGCCTGCTATACGTATTACTCACTATTTGCATTTTCCTGTTGAGTTTTAAATGTGTGAAACTCAAATAAATGTCTAAATACATCAAAGGAACAGAACTGCTTTGGTTAGAAGAGAACATTTCATAGCAGTAATACAAGATAAGCTGCACAGATGAAAAGTCCGGTCACAGTTAATGTGGCGCAACAAAGCTGAGCTCTGCAGAGGACTTACACTTACAACCTGTTAACTCCAGGAAGTCACAGGTTGGAGCGAAACGTCCAAACTTTCAAACTGATGCTGACATCTCCGGCTTCTCCACCCCTCAGGCTGTGGTCTGCATGAGTCACAGTATATTTCTGACTATGCTATGTCTGGAGGCACACTGCAAATAGACTCAGTGCTGTGTTTGTGTGGAGGCCGCCTTTTTCTCACCACAGTTCTACGCCAAGCCCATATCCCAGTGAAGGCGCATGCAGCCATGAAGTCTGTATCTGCTGCCTGCCAGACAGACTTACTTTTGATGTCTAACAGTGTTTGCTGTTGCCAAAGAGGAAGCAGTTTGCAGTGCAGATTATTCAGCTTTGTGAGCATTTTGTCATTAAATGTGCCCTGTTGTTGACATATGAGCTTAAAAAGTAGTAAATCAGCTTATTTCTGTCATGCTAACTTTAAGATGTCAGTTTATATTTATGGTATTTGTGGGTGAGATTTGTGTATCTGTATGCATTTTTCTTCCGATTCACATATTGGAAAACTCTTCCAAAGAACGCAAATATCAAAAGCTACCAGACAAAGAATTAAATAGTCTCCTCTTTCATGCAAACACTGTCTCCCAAATCTGCACGTCTGGCCAATTAGTAAGAAAACAAA